ATACTCGGCCCCACACCAGACCAATTAAATGAGAGGCACCAAGACACCCAAAGGCCCATAAGTTTCCAAGGCAGTTCCACTACAGCCAGGGTTAAGAATTCCTACCTGAAATGAATTTCAACACAGCGGAGGCTGTTAGTTTTATAGACATAACTGTACTATGTCTCCCGGGGAAGGAGGTATTCTTTTTTTAACTTTCATTCTTTCAGTTGTCTTAAATTGTACCTGGTATCAGATTTAGGAAAAAACCTTCCTGAGACTGTTCCCTCAGGTGGCTAAGCTGTTTATACAATTCTGCCCCATCTGAGCAAGAACGTTTGTGGCACCTACACCCCACAGGGAGCCCAGGGCAGAGCTGTCTGGGCACTGCCTCGGGCCTGCCCGCTTAACAAACTGCAAAGTGGAGATGGGGTGACCTCTCTCAAGAGCTCCTGCTCCAGGGAGTTTCAGCTCTGCATAGGTGACACATTGGTGGATATGGAAAATATGGATCCTCTGTGTGGGGTGTGTGTGCATGGGCGTGTGCCTGTGTGCACGGGGGTGTGCTTGGGTGCATAGATGTGCACAAGTGTGCCACGGGCTGAATATCATACGTAGGGGTATGTGTATGTCCATGTGCAAGGGTGTGTGTTTGTGTGTGTGTGTAGGCATGCCTCTTCATGCAGGGGTGTGCATGCAGGGGTGCGCATACATACAAGGGTGTACATATGTGGTTGTGCACAGGGGCATGCGTGCATACATGAGCGTGCACATATGCAGTGAAAGAAATGGCAACAGGGGCGTATTTCAGGTGTATTTCACAAGGGCCTCACTTTTGGGACCGCCCAAGTGCAGTGACCTCCATCTTCACTGCTCTGGCCCTGTGATGGACGTCGGCAACCTCATTGATGACAGGCTCAGCTCCAGCCTAGCCCAGTGAGTGGCCAGAGGAGGAGGAAGTAGTCTGGGCAGGTAATGACTCAGGGTCGAGGTTGGAAGAGGAGACATCCCGCAGGGGCTGAGCAGAACAACTGAGTTAAAGGCCTTCCTCTCGGGCTTCCTCGGCGGCTCAGCGGTAAAGAAGCTACCTGCCTGTGCAGGGACATATGCTCAACCCCTGGTCCGGGAAGACCCCACATCCCACAGAGCAACCAAGCCCATGAGCCAGGACTGTCGAGCCTGGGCTCTAGAGCCCGTGTGTCACAGCTACTGAGCTCACATGCCACAGTGATTGAGGCCTGGGCACCCTAGAGCCCACGCTCCACAAGAAAAACTTCCACCATGAGAAGCCCACGCACTGCAACGGGAGAGCAGCCCCTGCTCGCTGCAATGAGAGAAAGCCCACATGCAGCAACGAAGATCCAGCACAGCCAAAAAATAAATAATAAATGAATAAAAGGTTCTTTAAATTCCCGCCTCTTAGGGAGACTTGTCGAACAGCTGCTCTCTCACGCAAAGATGGTTCTCTGAGTGTGATGTTGGGCTGTCACAAACTCAGGGAGCCTCCCCATTCCCTGAGGGAGCAGTTAGGAAAGGAAGTTCTCACCTCTCTGGCCCCAGAAGATGCACAGTCAGAAGGGAGGAGTCCAGCTAATGCTGATAAACATGAATTCATCTAACCTAGAGGTGGAGCCAGGTGTTGGTGGTGTTGACAGAAGGATGCTCCACACTTGCAGGGGACTTATGTGTGGCAGAGCCTGAGATGCAGGCTCTGGAAAGTCCCCATCCCCAGGATTCTTCACATGGCATCTTGGAGTCTCCAGTGACCTGGGGACAAGGGTCCCCAAACCCTTGCTTACTGCTCTGCCTGAGGCAGGTCTGGCTTCCCACAGCACTGGCTGCACCATCCTAAGTTGTCTGAGATTTCTCTGACTTCCTGCACCTTGGGTCCCTTTCCTCTTTCCTCCTCCTCTTCTCCCGTCCCATCTGAGTTTCCCGTAGGAAGCTGTGAGGCCAGGAAGAGAGGCCTCTTTTCATTATTTGCAAATGTCAGCTGCTTCTGCAGTGTTCTGCTCCACAGTGTAGATGCGTCTCCCGAGCTCTCTGTTCAGAGGGAGCAGGGGCGGGCACAGTGCGGTGAGCAGCAGTGCGTGCTGGCGGGCAGCAAGAGGGCCCACCCAGCTCCGAAGTGGCCCGCAGAATGGGAACAGCTTGTTTGACAACAAAATGCCACGGGGTGAGAGCCAGCGTGGGGGACGTGCGGCTGGTTCCCGCTCCCAGCCCTGGGAAGCTAGTTTGACGGTTCAGCACCAGCCTCCGGGACAGCTCCCAGCCGAGCTCATTCCCACTCGGGTGATTCAACCAGACGAGGCGGAGCTGCTGTTTCCAAGTGGAACCTCCTCCCCCAGAACTCGCTGCTCGTGACCTGGGATGTGTCTCCAAATGCTGCCACAACCATGCAGCCCCTTCGCCAGGCCCTGTCACCTTCTCCCCCTACAAAGAAGACTGTCTTCCACATCCACACTTGCACCTGCTGTTCCTCTCTGAAGACACTTTTCATCTTTCCTAAGCCTACTGAAGACAAGCACATCAACTTAAAAGGATGATTCCAGAGGGAGGAATTTCAAGCCATGGCGATGAAAACCTTCAAACTACTAGGTCATTTGGTAGCCTCACAGCACACCCCAGTCTCAGCCTCGTTCTCCCCTGACTCTCTCTGACAACCTGAGTCACTGGCAGACTCTGAGTCACTCACTCTGAGTAGCTGCCCAAGACCAGTGCTTCCTGGGCCCTGTCGACCAAGTATTGTCCATGGCTCGGTCCCCGCCAGCATCCTCCTCTCTCCAATACTTCTCTGCTACGGAGCATCAGCATTTGTGGTCAGGACAAAATGCCCATTAAAAAAAAGAAAAGAGAGAGAAAGACATCTAGAACTAACAGACCATCCAGGTGGTGGTCAGGCTCTAGACAGGAATCACATTTTAGCTTGAAAACCACCTGAAAGTAAGTTCATGGTCTGGTGAAGAAAAGTCAATTTGCAGGCAAACAATTTAGGGGCCTTCCTTAGTTATGTGCTCAGTCATTCAGCCGTGTCCAACTCTTTGTAACCCCTTGGATGGCAGCCCTTCAGGCTCCTCTGTCCATGGGATTTTTCAGGCAAGAATACTGGAGCAGGTTGCTATTTCCTCCTCCAGGGGATCTTCCTAACCCAGGAATTGAACCCGCATCTCTTGTGTGTCCTGCATTGCCAGGTACATTCTTAACCACTGAGCCACTTAGGAAGTCTCCTTAGTTAAACCCTGGGACAAATTAGGACAGTCTCATTTCAATGCCAGTGAAAGTAATAGAAATTTACCAAGCACAAAATCTCAAGCCATAAAAAAAAAATGTTTTGATAACTTTGACTATATTAAAATTAAGACCTCCCGTTCCTTAAAAAAAGACATAAAGAAATCACAAAGACAAGCCACAAATTAGATTGGGAGATTTTAAAACACATGTGACTTACATAGGATTTATACCTATAATATATAAAGAACTCCTATAACTCAATAAGGAAAAGATAAACAGCAAAGCAGAAAAGTGACAAATGACACAAATAGGCATCTCATCAAGAGGAAATAAGGAGAGCCAAGCATATGACCAACTGCTCAACCTCATCAGTTGTCAAGGAATGAAAGTTAAGACCATAACAAGATACCACAATACCACTCTACACCCCCAGTGAGAAAGCCCAATAACACTAAGTGTGGGGAAGAATCAGCCCCCTGGCAACCTACACATGGTAGGACTCGACTGGTGCAGTCACTTAGGAAAACAACTGGCATTTTCTTGTCAGGCTGAATTTTTAAACACCTGGAGTCCCAGCAATTGTGCACCTAAGTCTATACCAAAGAAAAAACTCAGTCTATACCCAAGAGAAACTCTGACCCAGGGATACCCGGTGACATGTCCACCACAGATAGTATCATTCAAAATAACATGAAAAAACATGGGGAAATGTCCACAGATAGGAAAAATTGATAAATAATTGTAGTATATTCACACAATGGAATATTATACAGCAGTGAACATGAATGGCATAGAGCTACAGGCAGCAACATGGAGGAATCTTGGAAATCTAATAATGAGTGAAGAAAACAAATCTTGGAGGCTATAATCAGTAGGTACAAATTTTACAAAGCTCAAATTAAACCAAAATAAAAACTAAATCATATGTTGTTTATTGATACATAAAATTGTAAAAACAACAACAACAAAAGAACAAATTTATTTTTTAAAGCAAAAGAATGATAAACACAAAATCCAAGTTCCAGGTTTCCTCCAGGGCTGGGTGGTGTCGAGGGGAGAGGGATGGGTGAGAGAAACCCCCAGGTGAACATAAGAGTCCTGGTAATATTCTCATTCTGCAGCTGGGTCATGGCAGAATCATAGATCACTTCATCCTTGTGCTTTGTGACATATGGTACATATATTTTTGTACATATCAAATATCAGATAATAAATATTTATAGATAAAATAAGAAATATCTTACATATTTCTGTATCCCACAAATATAGTGGTTAAAAATGAGCCTAATCATACACACACACACAATCCCATCCCCTCTAACCACCAGTCTCCCACCTCCAACAGCATCAGAGGGACCCTGGAAAGGCAAGCACTGGAAGAGGTAGGCATCACTGGCCCACCTCCCCACCCTCCAGGCCTTCCTGGTCCCCATGAAGAAGCCCAGCCCCAGAAGAGGACCCCCGAGGCCGCACCAAGTCAGGCAGGACGGGAGCAGCGGGGACCCTATCTGATGACGTGGCTCAGTTCCACAAACCAGGATCTGTCAGGCCCTGAGCACAAACAAGAGGACTCCCCTTAGGTCCAAGACGGAGAACAGGACCCTGTTTGAACAGCACTGAGCAAATACGCTCCTTGGTGCATCCCCCAGAATGACGAGGGCATCAGCACTGAGGACAGGAGAGCGGGAGGCAGACCCAGCAGGTGGAGAAAGCTACGGGGAACGTCGCCATCTGACAATGGCTGGGCTCCTGGGGGACAGGCTCCCCTTCCTCCCCTCCCCCGCACTCACCTCTGCAGCTCCTTCAGAGACACTGTGATCCGGAGGCCATGGCCCAGGACATAGAGAGCAGCCAGGATGTCTGCCCACTGCACCATCTCCCCCAGAGGCCCGCCCTTCAGCACCCGCGGGCTGAACACGTCCCCCGACTCCTCCGTCAGGAAGCCGATGTGGACGAGGATCTGGTGGGGTCGGGGGTGGGGGGACACAGAGGGTCAGCTTGGAGGAGCAGCAGCCCTCGGCCCGGCCACCCCCAGGGAGAGCCGGCCAGCAAAAGACACGGTCTCCCTCCCGGCTGTGCTTTCTGGCACCAGAGCACAGCAGAAGGACCAAGAGGCACGGTGACCTCGCTGGAGACACAGGTGAGCAGGACGGTCACATCCTGCCCTCAGGGCGCTTATGTTCCAGAGGCAGACAACAGTAAACACAGACAAGAGATAATTCATGAAATGACAAGGACTCTGAAAGAAATAAACAGGGCGAATGAGAGTCAGGTAAGTATTTATCGCATGGATGGATGGATGGACAGACAGATGGAGGAAACAACGAGCTGAGGAACTCCCCCAAACTGGCTACATTATTCCCAACATTCCAGGCAAATGACACGACTTTTCTGCCTGACAAGAACAAGACGTCCACAGGATGCGGGACTCCTAAGGGCGAGGGGGTGTCACTCTGCCCCAAACTTGAAAAGGGTCAGGACCAACACACGCATCCATCCTGACTCTGCCGCCACACCACCCCAGCTCAAATTCAAATAAACACAATGAAAGTCTTTCACGGGTAGACCCAGGGTGCCCTTGGCAGCCTGAGGCCCCTGGCTCACTAAGTTCAGTTCCTTGAATGCACTGGGAGGATGCAGTACCTGCTTCTGGTCCCTCCGGACGCCCCCTAGTTTCTGCGCCAGGCGCTGGGCGGCCAGTGCCCACTGGGCCGTGAACCGCTTGGTGCGTTTCTTCATGAAGATTAGCGATTCCTTCCCACTGCCCATCAGCTCCAGGAGGTGGGACAGATTGCTCCGGAAAACTGCCTGGAGGGGGTGGGGTCCAGACTTCAGTTCTCTAACTTCCAGCCAGCAGCTACACCACCACCATCACCCGCCACCCAGGGCATCTTCCCTGTGAGGTTGGGTCTGTTCTAGCTCCTTCCACGTTTCTAAGAGTCATGAGCCCCGCTCTTATCCCCGCAACATCCACTCCCCAGCCATGTCGGTCTGTCCCAGCCCAGCTCCAGTCAGCCACCAGTCCTGTGCCCTTCAGGACAGGGTCAGCTGTGGCCTGTTCCCAGGATCCCAGCTTGGACAAGGAGGCAGTGAGGTCGTGGTCAGAGCCGGGTCTCCAAGGTCAGGGAAGCCAGGCTGCCTTTCAGCAGAGCCCGAGTATCCGTATGCCTTAAGGAAGTTAACTCAGCTCTCCAGACCTCAGATCTGTCATCTGTTAAATATGACTGTGTAAGGACTGCTGTGAGATTTAAGTACAAATAAAGTGTCTGACACACAGGGAGCCTTCAATGAATGACAGCTATTATTACTATTATTCCAGTCCATTAAGGGAGGTGCCTCCAGGGCCCCAGCCTACCCCTCAAGTAGTTTCAGCTTTGCAGCGTCCCGCAGGAGTTGGGGCGAGCACCCGCAGGCTGGCAGGTCGGGACCAGCCCACCCACCAGGCAGAGCCAGCTGGCCTTATCCTACCCGGGGGCAAAGTGTTCCCTGCTGTCCCCCAAGCACGACCCGGCCACCAGCCCCTTGCCGACCCACCCACCTTCCTCGCCTACCTGGACTTTGGGGAGGGGCTTGGGAGCCCTCTGGGTGGCCGTCTGGTTCCTCCAGGGCAGCGGGGGGCAGAACCACTCGACCTCACTGAGGTAGATGAGGAAGGAACACTCGGTGCCGTCCACCCCGAAGAAGGCGTAGCAAGGATCAGAGGTCCAGCGTGCACGCATCCACTGCGGAGAGGGCCAGCCTGGGCCAGGGAGCCAGCACCAGTCCCTCCTGTACCCTCGGGGCCCCCTTGCAGGATGTCCTTGGGGACCCCGAGGTCCCCCAGGAGAGGGTCCCTGGGGCCCATCCTAAAGGTGCAGCAAGGCCAGAAGCAGAGAAGAGAGACTGGACCAGGGTCCTAATATCCAGCCCTATGTCTTAGCTGCTGAGAAACTCAGGCAAGGCCAGACTGGCCCACCATCCCCCAGGCCCAGAAAGAGAAGGACCCTGCGGGAATGAGGTCAGATCAGGACACATGCGGTCCAACAGTGGAGGTGCAGCAGCTGCAGGCCTGGCGGGTTCCTCATCATTTGTTCTCCATCCATAACCAAGAATCGGGTTCGGCTGACGCCAAGGTCAGGGCACAGCCTCTGAGCAGACGCCAGGGCGGGACTCATCCACAGTGGCCCCCACATGGTCCCCAAGATAGGGTCTGCAGTGCCACTGCCCCCCGACTCAGGGATTTCAGCACCAGTGAGGGGCTGGCTTTTTTTTTTTTTGAGGGGCTGGCTTTTATGCCTGTGAACTGGCTCCCCAGATAGACAGACTCCAAGCAGTCGGGGGTGAGGGGGCACCCTGGGTAGGGGGAAGGGATTCTCTCAGTCCAGCTGGGCTAGAAGGGATGGAGAGAGAGAATGAGGTCCACTCCTTGTGTGAAATTGTTGGGATTCAGGCTGCTAGGGGTGGCACATGTATATTTAATAGCTTGTCTGCTGTAAGATGGTACTGAAAACCCCACAACATGACCCATTCTGGGAAATTTGGGTTGGGGACCAGGCAGGTGGCCCAAGCAGAGAAGCAGCTCTTCTGAGGTTGGCCTCTGCTAGCTAGTGCCAGTATGAGGGTCTGGAGGCCAGGCAGAGAGCCCCTTGGTGGTGGATGTTGCTACTAGCAGAACCCCAGAGCTAATCTGGGGCACAGCTCCCGCCGAGGGGCCTGCTTCTCCTGGTCACCCCCACCCCCAACCCTCAGCCCCAAGCCTCACCTCCACCTTCCCTGAGCAGTCAGGGAACTTGGGGTCACTGGGCGCCTCACACTGGTCCCGCCGGCCTTCAGACACTGCAGGGAGAGAAGGCCAGCTTGCTGAGGACCTGGGTCTGGGAAGGACCCGGCAGAGAAAGCACAAGGCAGGTGGGAAGGGGAGCATGGGAGCACGCACTGCCCTGGACCTGAGTTTTCTTCCCTGAAAGGCCACCTGCCAGGGCTGGCCTGGACCTGAGTTGCCCCCTCTGCCACCATGCCCACCCTCCTTAGGCGATTCAGCCCAATGAGGAGCTGGCCTGAATGGTTAAAGACCAGTTCTCTGGATGGGCAGACCTCAGGCACACATCTGAATGTACTCCCGACTTCTTGAGGGGGCTTCCCAGCCTGATGCTGCCCACATCAGAGGAACGGAGGGGCCACCCCGGGATGGTGGGGTCACCCCACTGACAGCCCGAGGCAGGACCCCCCAGGAACCAGAGGAGCTGCTGCAGGGAGAAATCAGGCCCCACCCCGGACGTCCCACCGCCCTGTACTCTGTCCTCCTGGGGGTCGCGAGGCGCCCCCGGCCCCCACCCTTGCTATGCAGCAGCAGGCTGTGACGCAGGATCTGGTCCACCTTCACCGCGATGTCCGAGACGTTCTGGGCGATGGTCTGGATCCGCTCCATGAGGCCAGTCCCGGCAGAGAGCCTGAGAGGGAGAAGCCAGGGTGAGCCTGCGGCGATGGCCTTCCCGGGGGCGGGGCGAGGAGGGCTCAGCCTGCCTGAAGAGGACTTCAGCGCCCCCAGCACCCAAAGGCCAGCCTGCGCGGAACAGCAATGCCGCGACCGACAGTCAGGCCAGGAAATGGAGCCGCTGCTGTCTCAGCCCAGGCCGATGGAGCTCACTAACCAACCATCAGCATGCCCACCTGGCATGCCTCTGGGAAAACCCACAGCAGCAGGTGCCAGGCCAAGGGCAGTGCTCGGGCTGACATGGGCAGAGGAATTCCCTCCAAGAGCCTGGATGGGATGGATGTGTTTGGGGACCCCCAGGTGATGGAGGCCCTTTTCCTGGGCTTAGCCGGCCGCCCTGAGTCTCTTTCTCTATTTTTCTCCCGGGGAGGGCTGTATCTTGCCAAAATAAATTCCACACAAAGTAGCCTGGGGGCTTGCCAACTATTAAAACCTCCAGTAAAATTATTGCTGGATTCCCAAGAATGAATTCTCCCAGGACCCTAAAGGAGTTCACTGCCACAAACATCACAGCCCTCCGACTCACCATCAACACTGGCGCTGCCTTAATTTCTGGAATATTCCCTGGTGTTGATCACCACTCCCCTGTCAGAGGAGTTTATTAGACATCAGATGCAGTATTTATCTCACGGCAAAAACTTCTATTAAGACAGATTCCACTCGGCCAGCACGTGGGGCTCGCAGCCAGGAGGGCTCTGGGGGCCCCTCTCCAGAAGGCCGCTTCCTTTTTCCTGAAGACAGTAATTCTGTTCCCTTTGATTTTCACCACCTCCTCTGGCTTTGCAGGCCAACTGTAAGCTTCATTTATCCCTGTACAAGGACTGGGTCTTCCTTGCCGCACATAATGAGAACTACACGAAGGAGGATTTTTCCAATCTGGGCTCCTCTGGGATCTTCAAACCCCACCCCCACCAGGAAAGGCCCAGTGCTGCCCCTCCTCGGCCACCCGCCCCCCACCATTTTCCTTTTTTAAAACTTTGGCTGTGCTGGGTCCTCACTGCAAAGTGCAGGCTCAGTAGTCGCGATGCCCAGGCTTCTTCAGTTGTGGTGTGTGGGCGTAGTTGCCCCTTGCTAGGTGGAATCTTGGTTCCCCAGCCAGGGGTCAAACCCACGTCCCCTGCATTCGAAAGCAGACTCTTTTTTTCTTCGCTGTGTTGGGTCTTCACTGCTACACGGGCTTTTCCTCTAGTTGCAGCAGGTGGGGCTCCTCTCTAGGTCGTGTGCTTGGACTTCTCACTGCGGCAGCGTCTCTTCTCGCGGAGCGTGCGGGCTTCAGTAGCTGCGGTTCCCAGGCTCCAGAGCACAAACTCAGTAGCAGTGGCACTCGGGCTTAGCCGCTCTGCGGCATGTGGGTTCTTCCCAGACCAGGGATTAAACCTGTGTCTCCTGTATTGGCAGGTGGATTCTTTACCACTGAGTCACCAGCGAAGCCCTGGAAGGCGGATTCTTAACCGCCGGACCGCCAGGGAAGTCCTCCCTGCTCCACTTTTTGTAAGGAGAGGAAGGGTGTGGGGACCAAAGGCAGAGGCGGCAGGAAGCGGGGAGATGCGCCCGGCACACACATGTACACTTGTGTGCACACACGTACACAGGCAGTCCAGTCCACGCTCTCCAAACTCTCCTGGAAAATGGCATTGCCTTTCATTCACTTCCTGTGGCTGCTCTAACGAATGACCACAGACTGGGGGCTCAGAGCAGTCCGGATGTCTTCTCCCACACCCTGGGCACCAGAAGTCTGCAGGCAAGGTGTCGGCAGGCTTGCTTCCTCCTGGAGGCTCTGGGGGAACGTCTGTCCTAGCTTCTGGGGGGCCAGCGGTCCTCGGTCTCTGTCCCTCCTCGGCCTCCTTACGCGTGTGTCCAAATTTCCTCTTCTTACAGGAAGACCAGCACTGTGTTAGGGCCCACCCTGACCCAGCATCACCTACCTTAATTTGACTGCATCGACCGAAGCCCTATTTCTGAACAAGATTATATCCATAGGTACCATATCCGCAGGCCCAGCCTTGATCCTGCTGCCTCTTTCATGGGAGATGAAGAGCAACGGGGGGTAGGTGGGAGTCTTTGACTCCTCACGCTTCTGGGTCCACATTATTCGGAGACTTATTAGAGGGCTTTCCAGGTGGCACTAGTGGTCATGAATCTGCCTGCCAGTGCAGGAGACATCAGAGACATGGGTTCAATCCCTGGGTCGGGAAGATCCTCTGGAGGGGGGCATGGCAACCCAGTCCAGTATTCTTTGCCTGGAGAATCCCAAGGAAAGAGGAGCCTGGCAAGCTACAGTTCATGGGGTCACAAAGAATCAAACACAACTGAAGTGACTTAGCATGCAGGCATCGGACTGAGAAAGGACCTCAGAGTCAGAGGTTCTGGATTCAAATCCTGGTTCCAGTGGAGAGCTGTGTGACTCTGGGCAAGTAACCTAACCTCTCTGAGCCCCAGGGTTAGCTCATGTAAAGTCTAAATAGTTTTAGCTCCCTCACGAAGTGATGAACTGCAAGGATTAGATATGAAGTTGACTGTCAAGGGCTCAGTATACAGTAAGTGCTCAATAAATGCTTGAGACACTCTCACTCCCTACCTCCAGGAGTCACCCCATCCTTGGGAGGAAGTCTCATAAGTCTAACTACAGAGCAAAGCACTTCACTTTTGGGGAGATTCAGCAATTTTCATATGATAAGCATTTTTTTTTTTTTTTGCATAAAACATATCACCAGCCTGGGCTTTAAAACAGCACAGATGGCATCTGTCTGATTTAACAAGTTCAACTTGTTCAAAACGGAATTACTTGGCATCACTATTATTATACTGGACTTAGCATTTGCACAGCACTTTCTATTTTCAAATAATATAGGATTAGGCTTCTTTCCCTGGGAAGTTTTTTTCAAATGACAACAGAAGTTGATGTTGTGAGACTTCAAACCACAGCATATCTGTGACCTGGGAAATGCTTCTGTGGAAAAGAAAAGGGGGGGTGGACTGGGGACAAGGTGTGCAGCTGCCCACCGCTGACAGTGTTGTCACCATGGGATTGGGGTGGTGGCAGGGCTGGCTTCTCCATCAGGCCAGGGTGGTGCCCTGTCAGGGCCCACAGTGCTTTCAGGGGGTCCACAAAAATGTTTCCATTCCTCTAAACATCAGGAAAAAATTGTAGGTCAGGAAAAGATTTTAATATGTAATGTTATTATAAGCATCGTTATGCCAATGCAGTCATAAAATATAATTTTGCTACTGGTTAAATATGCTCGGGCATAAGTGGCTTCCTGGAGCCAGCCGCCCTCCAAGGTGATCCTGGTACAGCCAACCTCTGGGCACTGGCCCAGGGTCCCCTGAAGAAGCAACCAACACCACAGGCCACCCACTGACCTCAGGACCCTCTGCCCCTTCACCACACAGAGCCAGGGGCCAGAGGCGCAGGGAACGGAGCAGGAAACTCTGGCTCCAGACGGTAACCAGTGGCCACTTCCCCCCAGGACACTGGCTCCAAGCATCACCTCCCATCAGGCCAGGTCCCCAGAAGGCCCTTGAGGCCATTACTGATTCCAGTTCTCAGTCCCCTGGTCCCAGCATGAGCGCTCCAGGAAGCCGCAGGAAGGAGGTTTAATTTTGAGTTCCACCCATGATTTATGAGGGTTGCATTCAATTAATGAGATATTGATTTTTGCGCAGCTGGCCAGCGTGCTTGCTGGGAGTTGTTATTTTATTATAAAACTGATTGCTTTCCTTTTAAAACAGAGAGACTCGTGTTCTGAAGACACATGTACCAAGACACAAACGCTACAGCCAGAAACACGAGCGCCACGCACAGGAGATGGGTCCTCTCCAGGTGTCTGTCTCTCACACACCACACAGAACACAGGAAACACTCGTCCCTGGTGTCCAGTCTTCCCTGCATCTTTTTTACTGCTCTCCTCCTCTGTTCCCCCTCTCCAGTTCCGTCAGAGGTCTGATGCCATCAGAGCGCTGCCAGCGTGTGATCAAGGACCTGCCTGCCCCTCCCCAGGTGAGAGCAGAGAAGATGCCTTCTCTCCTGCCCTGAGAAATATATATACACATACATGCACATGTATGTATCAGAAAGACAGGATGGATAGATGATAGACAGACAGATAGTCTTCCCACTGCTGATAGGAACAGGGCTGGAGTTGGACTGTAGTTTCATCACTTGGGGAAGGGACTGGTACCCCCTGGGTGGGGCACAGCCAGACTATGGGGAACAGAGCCCCCATCCCCACCCCAGAGCCCAGTGCTCCCCTGGAGGATTTTCTTTTCTAACATCTCATATGTCTTATTTAGGGCTTCCCAAGGTGGCAGTAGTGGTAAAGAACCGCCTGCCAATGCAGGAGATGTGACAGACACAGGTCCGAGCCCTGGATCGGGAAGACCCCTTAGAGGAGGGTGTGGCAACCCACTTCAGAATTCTTGCCTGGAGAGTCCCATGGGCAGAGAAGCCTGGTGAATTATAGTCCACAGGGTCGCAAAAGAGTCAGACACGACTGAAGAGACTTAGTGTGCACTCATGTTTATTTAAGACACTGATAGCCTGCTATATATGCCTTGTTTCTTGCCACTTTTACTTAGATGAATAAATACATTGCCAGCCATTAAATATTTTTAATGTATTTTTAGTGGTTACATTTTATTCCATCATGTGTATCCATACCATATTGACCTTTCCCCACTCATTTCTTTTTTAATATTTACTTTTATTTCTATTATTTATTTGACTGGGCCTGGTCTTAATTGCAGCAGGCAGGATCTTTAGCTGCAGCCCGTAGGGTCTAGTTTTCCCGACAAGGGGTCAAACCCCAGGCTCCCTGCACTGGGAGCTCTTAGAGTCTTAACCACTGAACCACCAGGGAAGTCCCAATAGTAGGACTCTGAAGTATCTTAAAAGTACATGCGTCTATTTGGTTGCAGCCTCAGTGATAAAAATCTTACAATTAAAACACATTTCCC